TCAAAAAAAAAAAAAAAAAAAAAAAAAAAAAAAAAAAAAAAAAAAAAAAAACCTTCCTGCAGGGTTTCCAGGCAGTATTATTCCCATTTTACTGAAGAATCAATGAGCTCGCTGAACTTTTCCCTCCGTGATCAAGCTGTCTAGCGATGGAGATAGAGCTCCACCTGTTCCTGAAAACGTAGTTCGTTCGTTTTGCTGTTGATGTCCGTTGTTCTCTCCCGCACACATTCCTGTGAAGGCTGCCCCCTGGGGGTGGAGTCAGAGCTCTGCTGGGAGCTGAGCGCAAGGAAGAGGCAGGCCTGGTGTGGACCTGTCTCCCCTGATTCCGTTACCACCTGCTCAGTGCTCACAGTTCTGCACACCACCGAGCCCACTGCTCTGACACAGTCGGTCCCTAACGCAAATCCCAGAGGTGACTCTATGTCCAATACAGGAGAGGAAACTGAGGCTCAGAAGAGAGAAGTTTCTGCCTAGAGTTTCACAGACAGCAAACAGTAAATCCCACTGGGCTAGCTGGGGCCTAGTCCAGGAGTCCTGCAAGGAGCTTTCAGTGCAGGGACCTTTGCAGGCCTCTGAAGTTGTCTGCCCAAAGTCTGGTGAAGCCCAATTCTAATTAGGATGGGAAGCAGTTGATTAAATGAGTGCCAAGCACCTTCGGAGCTGGAGGGCACAGAGCAAAGGCAGAGGAGTGAGTGCAGCTGGCATGCTCCTGCTGCCCCTCATCTCTAAACAAGCACGGGCCAGGCTGGCTTGCTCTCACCTGGGTGCACTCAGCTGTGGCCCGACAAGTCTCCTTGGGCAAATGGCACTCTCCTAGTTTTCTGGCTGTGGACTCTGAAGCTCCAGGCCCCACTGAAGAGGGGCCCCCTGGGAACTGGAAGTGGTGAGTGCCCCTGGAGGCACATCAAGCCCTGCTTTCTTTGCCCAAGTGGCTGATCTAGCCTCCCTGGCATCCTCTTTAGCGTTCCTTTATCTTCCTGCAGGTGGTGGAGGTGGCTGGAATGATAACACTTCCTTGCTCTGGGCTGGAAAATCTTTGCTGGAGGGTGCCACCGGAGGACATTCCTGCCCCCAGGCCATGAAGAAGTGGGGGTGGGAGACCAGAGGGGGTTTCGGAGGGGGTGGAGGGGGGTGCTCCTCCGGTGGAGGAGGCGGAGGATATATAGGTAAAGATGATTCGTGTTCAAGGTGTCACCCCTCCCCCTCTTAGTCCTAGGCACCTCACCTCCCTGTCCTCTCCCAATTTCCCCTCCCTCCCCTGGCCCACCCAAGTTTGGACTGTGATGTAATTGCACGCCTCCCTCTTGGCCTGGCTGGACCAGCCAGAGGCAGGATGTTGGCTTGAGAGCCAGCATCCTTCCTCCAGGCTTCCCTAGCAACTGCATCAAGATCCCACGTGATTCTTGATCTCCCCCAAAGTCGCCGATAAAGAGGCTTTGGCTTCCCAGACTATTCTCTGAGCCACCCATAAGGATGCACTGGCATGAGAACCTTGGAAGCCAGGAGCCGCCGCCCTTGGGGGCCAAGCCAACTCCTTAAGGGACTGGTTTGTGGTTTCACAGACTCCTCACTCTCCCTCCTGGTCCCAGCCCACCAGCTGCCGGAAAGGCGCTTCTCTCCCTCGTGGAAGGCAATTGTGGCAGGGCCCCCCCCCCCCCCCCCGCCAGCCAGCCTGCCATTGGCGCCCTGCTGCCTAGTCTCTGCTTCAGAGCAGAGTGGCAAGAGCCTTCTGAAGCTGAGCGGCTGGGGGGCGAAGGCCCCCCCCCCCCCCCCCGCCAGCCAGCCTGCCATTGGCGCCCTGCTGCCTAGTCTCTGCTTCAGAGCAGAGTGGCAAGAGCCTTCTGAAGCTGAGCGGCTGGGGGGCGAAGGCCCCCCCCCCCCCCCCCGCCAGCCAGCCTGCCATTGGCGCCCTGCTGCCTAGTCTCTGCTTCAGAGCAGAGTGGCAAGAGCCTTCTGAAGCTGAGCGGCTGGGGGGCGAAGGCCCCCCCCCCCCCCCCCGCCAGCCAGCCTGCCATTGGCGCCCTGCTGCCTAGTCTCTGCTTCAGAGCAGAGTGGCAAGAGCCTTCTGAAGCTGAGCGGCTGGGGGGCGAAGGCCCCCCCCCCCCCCCCCGCCAGCCAGCCTGCCATTGGCGCCCTGCTGCCTAGTCTCTGCTTCAGAGCAGAGTGGCAAGAGCCTTCTGAAGCTGAGCGGCTGGGAGACGAAGCTCCACCCTCCCCCAGATTAGGACACACTGCATGCATGCACTGTGCTGTCCGTGTCTGTGTTTCGCTCTGAAGCTGTGTGTGAGATGCTCGTGTTAACCACATGCTCTTGTTTTCCAGGCCCTGAGGGGGTGGGGGGAGGAGCCATGGGGGGAGCCCAAGATAACCCAGCCCCAGACGAAAGGAGGGACAGGAGCCTTAAGGCACAGGGCCCATTTCTCCCAGCGCCCCATCCCACCCCTGCATACTGGAGAGCAGCTCCCCAGTACCCTGTCCTGACTGCCTGGAGGAAGTGCCAAGGGCATCTCCCAGCCTGTGGTACCTGCAACCTCTGTGTTCTTGCTCACATGGACAGCTCCCAGGGGTTCCAGCAGAGCGGTGGAGACTCCCTCGTGGGAGCTGGCCTGGACTTGGAGGGGAAAGTGGCATACACACCCAGTATCTGTTGAGCCAAGGCCCCAGTGCAGCCTCTGTGCCCTGAGCCTCCCTTCCCTCCCCCATTCCCCTGTCCTGAAGGTCCCCAGTGACCCCTGGCTTTGGCCAGAGCTGCATGCCCCGCTGATGCGCATGTGTGTCCAGACTTTGGCACCCACCTCTCTGTGTTAAACTCTTCTCTGCTTTGCCACAGGTGGCAATGCAGCCTCAAACAATGACCCTGAGATGGATGGGGAAGATGGGGTTTCCTTCATCAGTCCACTTGGCATCCTGTACACCCCGGCTTTAAAAGGTACCCCCCTCTGCCAGGTGGCAGAACAATCTTCCTTAGGCCAGATCTCCCTCGAAGTGAAACCCCAGGTTACTGTCACGTATTCAGGATACAAAGATGACTGTGAGTCCCTTGGAGGCAAGTCTTCTATGGCCTATCTCGCCAAGTTGTCGGGAAGTCAGGGTGGGTGGTTCACTATGGACAGGGCAGCACTGACCACGAGACAGGCAGGTCCCTGAAAATGCAGGGGGAAGAGCCGGCATGCCCGAGGGTCCTACATAGGGGCTGTCCCCTTGCACACAAAGTGCAAGCATGGGGCCACATGCCTTCTGTCTGAGTCCCACTCACCAGATGCACCAAGAATTCCCCACACAGAGACATGCTTCCCTTGGCAGTGGGACCTAGTATCAGGGACCCGAGGCCCCATGGTGACCAGCAGAGATAAAGCACAACGGCTGAGAGCGAGACCACGAGACAGTCATCACAGGCTCAGCCCAGACTGACCCTCCCTCCTTGTCCCCAGTGATGGAGGGCCATGGGGAAGTGAATATTAAGCATTACCTAAACTGCAGTCACTGTGAGGTAGACGAATGTCACATGGACCCTGAGAGCCACAAGGTCATCTGCTTCTGTGACCACGGGACGGTGCTGGCTGAGGACGGTGTCTCCTGCATTGGTAAGGGGGCAGGGTGGTGATGGGGAGGGCTTTGGCAGTTTCCATGATCCAGGATACTCTGGACTCAGTTTGGTGAGTTTCCTGCCCACTTCCCCTGCCTGTCACAACATGGGGGACAGAAGAGTTCAGGTATAAAAGGTGGGTCATAGATCCCAAGGGAGTCTTAAGAGTCATCCAGTCCCACCCCTACCCAGGGCATGAACCTTCTGACATCCCCATCAAGGGGCCATCCCATCCCCACTCAGACATTCCCAGTAGAATGGCTCCATTGGCAGGGGTATAGGTAGGTCCTACCAGAGGTAGGACCCTGTTCCTTTGAACTTCTTCTCAGGCTTCCTTGACAGCTACAGCCTTTCGAGCACAATATTAGAAGGCAGTGCTCCCATCTTCCTCCTTTAAGTCTTTTTCAGATTAAATAACCCCAGTTTTTTAGATCAGTTCATATAAGATACTGGCGTGTATCTCCTTCCTGTGTTGTGGTGTCATCAGCCCTCTTGAAATGCAGTGCCCAGGACTGAGCAGGAGGCCTCAGTGTGGCCTGGCTATCAGGGGCACAGGATAGCTCCCCTGTGAGCTCTGAGCCCAGTACTCCGGGCCACAGGGAAGTAATCCAGCCTTCCAGGATGTTACCAGTGAGACACTCTCTTGCTGGATCATATCAAGTTTGGAGTCACTTAAGGCCTCTAAATTGCTTCTACGTCCACTTTCATCTCATTTTACACCCTCCTCCCACAGTTGTACAGTTGATGTTTGGGCCAACATGAATTTGAAATTCACCCTGTTAAGTTTTCCCTCCACCCAAAAGCTTGTGAGTCTGTGAACCAGGCTGAGCCTGCTCCATGCCCTGGTCCCCTGAAAAGGAAGGTGTGACAAGGTCTCCAGGGATGGGAGGAGCAGGCGGTTTTTGTCCCAGCTGGGGAGGGTATTTCTGACTTGGGACCAACTCAAAGGAGAATTGATGTGGTTGTCAGTGCCCCATTGGGACCTGTCTTCCAGTGTCGCCCACCCCGGAGCCCCACCTGCCACTCTCGCTGATCCTGTCCGTCGTCACCTCTGCCCTCGTGGCTGCCCTTGTCTTGGCTTTCTCCGGCATCATGATTGGTGAGTTCTCCAGAGCACTGGAACTTCTGAATGGGCAGGAAGGCAGGTTTTGCAGAACTGAGTAGTGCCCCAGGCTGTGCCACAGATGCCAAGGTGTCTCTCTGTCCTTCTAGTCCCTGGAATTGGGTGGGATGGTGACTTGAGCAGTCCAGGCCAAGCCAGAACAGAGCTCTGCACCCTCTACCCACCAAAGCAGCTTCAGCTCCCTAGAGGAGCCTCTGATTCTGTCCTTGGGTGGCTTCCTGGTTGCTCAAGGGGACAGGGCACTCTTCAGGGGCCGCACAATGGCTACAGCCCTGCCCTGCTCGTCACTTTCATCGATCATGCTCTGGTGGGCACAGCTCCCAGTGTCGCTCACTCTCTCTGAAGTGCTCAAGGCCGCTCTTTCCAGACCCTCCCATGCCTAGCAGAGAATGCAAAGTTGGTTCTGAGTGTATTTGCATTTGGCCTGTGAGCCAAGGTGAACTGATCTGCAGGTCACAGAGGCTCAGCATGGTGCAGCCAGGCTCCTTCTGCTGGCAGTAAGATGCCCAGGACAGATGGGCAGAGAGGTGAAGACAGGGGAAAGGTTCCTGGCAGCACTCGGAGTCAAGGAGATCCGGGGGTGGACAGGGAAGTGGCAGCACGTGTGGTGTCCCCATATGGTGCCATCCTTCAAAGGGACAGGCTAACAGGCCCTGACAGTCATTGCTCACTTACTCCGTGCTTGGCGGTGTATCCATTCCAGTTGGTTGCAGCCTCAAGGAACCCTAGGGTCACAGTTGGTACATTTCACAGAGGAGGGAACTGAGCACTGAGGGCTTGACTCACTTGCCCTGACCTGTAAAAAGGGGGGTCTGGGCATCTCCTCTGAAGGGCAATTTCATCCTGCCTCTTGGGGAAATTGGCCCTGCAGGATACCCTCACGGGTATAGGTGCAGTGATAATTGTCACTCACGCTGTCAAAGCTCTTTAGAATTTTTCTAAACCATGTAATGTGTGAATTCATTTCATTGTGACAGCCCTGGGGCTGGGCCAGGGGAAGCAGGGCAGGAGTTACTGTCCCTGCATACAGAGAAGGAAAGCATGGTCTGAGAGGCCACGTGACCTGGTCAGCATCCATCAGCTTGTAACAACCCTGGCGTGGGATTAGAGCACAGGTCCTCAGACACCTGTTTAGAGATTGTTTCACCACATGGCTGTTCTCCAACTATGTGGCTTGGCAGGTCTCCAACTGTAGGCAGCACAATTGACCAAGACCCCAGCTGTGCTCTCACATCATTGCTGTATTTGCACAGAGGCTGCCCCACCCAACGACAGCATAGCCAAATTACTAAGGTGGGCCCATTCCTGGAGGACAGGGGGCTCCTCTGATGGCCCACCTTGACTCCACAATTCTCCAGAGCCTTGCAGAAACTTCTAGAAGCCATGCAGCATCCAGGGTGGTTCCACCCAGCCTTGACTCTCTCTCCCCTCCATGCAGAGTCAGACTTGTAGCATGGTCTGATGTTTCTCCCAACCTTTCCTGGTTCTCGCCCCATTTTCTCTCCTAAATACTTCCTAATAAAACTAACTCCTCCTTGGGTCTGCCTGTTGGAGGACCCAGACTAACATGACTGCCTCTTTATGATAAATAAGATCTTTTCCATTTACGTGATTTGAATCTTTACCTTAAATGATGATTCAGCTAAAGGTACACTTTCACATCTATAATCACTTTGTTAGTACTACTAAGGCCAATGGGAAAGCTTAGAGCTTTGGGAAGGAGATAGAAGTTATGGGAGGCTTCTTGGAGGAGATGGCCTGGACTGCAAGGGCCAGGCAGCCTGACCCAGACCATGTTGCAGCTGACCTCTGTCTGCCTGCAGTGTACCGCCGGAAGCACCAGGAGCTGCAAGCCATGCAGATGGAGCTGCAGAGCCCTGAGTACAAGCTGAGCAAGCTCCGCACCTCAACCATCATGACTGACTACAACCCCAACTATTGCTTTGCTGGCAAGACCTCTTCCATCAGTGACCTGAAGGAGGTGCCCCGGAAAAACATCACCCTTATTCGGTAAATGCTCTCCCACCATCCTCCAAGGGGAGGTGCAGTCTAGAGAGTTTGGTGTAATCATAGCACCATAAGAACACCAGCGGGGCCATCCCCACAGGCACTTCCAGCCCTCACAGGGGTCAAGGCTTAATGTTCAGGGCCATGTGGTGGTGGGGATGGTGGTATTTTAATGCCTGTGTATTCATGGAGTCTATAGAATGAAAGGACAAGTCATGGAAAGAACCAGGGCTCTCAGAACCACCCAGGTTTTCCTTCCCCAAACCTTCCAAACCCCCCTCTACCCCAGGTAGACAAAGTGCCCTCCTCTGAGCATCCAGGACACCCTGTGCACACCCCTATCATTCACTGACCACATTCCACTGCAAGAGGCTGCCAATGACCGATCCCTGCCTAGGGCAGGTGAGCCTCCCTGGGGCAAAAGCTGTGTCTTACTCACTTTTCCAGTGACTTGGCCCTGGTAAATATTAGACATACAGTAACTATTCTTGAATTTATAAACAATTGATCATTATCATAAACCTTTGGCTGGCTGAGAACCAGCAGTTAGCGTAATGGCTATTGTCGCTGGACTCCCACGTAGTCGACCGCGGTTCGTGTCCCAGACCTGGTGGCTTAAAACTCACGCTGGGCGCGTGTGCATGCATGCCCAAGATCCCGAGAGGAGAATAGAGGAGAAGGGATTGTGGCGTGGCCATCCCCCCTGGGGGGTGATTTCTCGCTTTCTGTCTCTATGTCTCTCTCTGTCTGGCGAGCGCACGTGCCCTACAGTGAAAATCTCTCAAAAAAAAAAAAAAACCTTTGGCTGGAGCCATTTCTTCCAGTCCCCAGAAGAAGAGAGGGAGACCTGAGACTGCATAGCAAGACCAGGCTGAGGGTGTTGCTCCATGTGCATGTGACCCCTTGCCTCTGTGCGCAAACCATGGGCCCTGGGTTCAGGGGTCCCAGCTGCTTCCCCACTGTGGCCTGTGTGGCCCTGCCTCATCTCATCTTCTCTTTTGCACAGGGGTCTGGGCCATGGCGCATTTGGGGAGGTATATGAAGGCCAGGTATCCGGAATGCCCAATGACCCAAGCCCCCTGCAAGTGGCTGTAAAGGTAAGAGGCAGCTCCCTCCTGAGCCTCACCTTGGCCCCTGGTCTCTGCGAGCTGCAGCTCTGAGCTCACAGCCTCCTCCTCGTTCCACCCTCCCCTCTGTGCCCAGACGCTGCCTGAGGTGTGTTCAGAACAGGACGAACTGGATTTCCTCATGGAAGCCCTGATCATCAGGTAAAGCCACAGAGAGACACCCCACCCCACTTCCCACTGGGAGGAAGATCATAGAGGCATTTGTCACAGATAGATGTCCCCAGGAAATGGGGCTGTCTCAGCATGTCCCCTCTTCCCCAGTAGCAGACTCCCAAACATTCAGGACACATCTTACTGGAGAGGAGCAACCCCTGATGGCTGGCTCAAAAACCAATCTGTGTATCTCAGCAGCCCACGGATAGCACTCTGCCTGCAGCCAGCATCCCTGCTGTCACCCATTGGTTCTTGTTCCCTCCCTTTTTCTTAAGAAATGGAGCATGGCGTTTTTGACTGTAGAAGATGACATTTCCTTCCAGGTAACTCTTCCCCAAGGCCCTTCCCCTGTCCAGCTGGTAGGCCCCATGTAAAGGAAATGTGCCCCTGGCATGGAAGGCCACCCCGCCCTGGGCCCCACCGGCAGGGCCCTCAGCCGCCCTATACCCTTTAACTTGTTGCTAGCCTACCCTTAAGCTGGAACGCCGAGCACCTGAGGCTCCCGAGGACATAGCTCTGACAGCAGATCCCCTTAAGGAGAAGGCAGATATCTGACCTCAAGGTCCAGCAGCTCATGGCCCCCATTGTGCTAGGAAGCCTCTGAGCATCTTTGCCTGGGGTTTGTAGGGGCGAGGGACAGTGCCTGGACTGTCCTCTTGTTAGAAGTGGAAAGAGAAATGAGGCAGACCATGAGTGGTGGCACACTTGTGGGGCCAGGAACCACAGGAGGGCACATAGTGGGGTCAGCACTTTGCTTTTAAAATACAACACTGATGCTTGCTAACAGAGGGGAAAGTCATTTAACAGGCAAACGAGTGCAAAGTTCTCTGTTTAAAAATCCTGTAGTAATATTTGCTTTATTTTAAAAAATTAAAATTTAAAAATTATAATAATAAAATCACATTTATGTTCTGATTATAAATGTGGTAATACAAGATTATTGAATAGAACTTGGAAAGTAGAAGAGCCTAGTCTTACTATTTGGCAATAAGTAAACATTACCATTTAGTGGAGCGTCACCCAGTCTTTCAGTTCCACGTGTGCATATGTGTAGTGTGTGTGTGTGTGTGTGTGTGTGTAAGTGTGTGCTCATGTGTTCATGTCTGGTTCCCTGTCCCCACTGCCCTGTATGACCTAAAGTTTCACAGCTTCCAACCTCTTGCCCTCAATCCCTCCCATGAGGAATCCATAGGAGACAGAGTGGACCAGTGAGGCCACCCCTCTCTCTGGCCCTCTCTCATGCAATGTCACCTGGCATGTCTCCCACCGTCCCTCCTAGAGGCTTTCCTCAGAGAACTCAACCATGAATGTTAGCACCAATATCTGAGAAAGACATTCCCCTGCCCCCTTCCCCTCTACAACGCCCCCTCACACCCAAGTGCAGCGTCCTCCACCTCCACCCAAACACTCTCAGACCAGCTGAACTGCTGCTACCCTGCCCTTGTTTGTTCGTCTCACCTGTTCAGCAGTGAGATCTCAGCTTAGGCTCAGCATGGCAGCCCTGCGGCCCATGTTTACAAGCACGCTTACACAATGTGGCTGATAAAAAGTCGCTTTATAACCCCCTCGCCCACTTAAGATGTTCCCAGACTCAGCTCTCTTAAATTTGGTACGCCTCCTCTGCTCTGCAGCAAATTCAACCACCAGAACATCGTGCGCTGCATCGGGGTGAGTCTGCAAGCCCTGCCACGGTTCATCCTGCTGGAGCTCATGGCAGGAGGAGACCTCAAGTCCTTCCTCCGAGAAACCCGCCCTCGTCCAGTGAGTGAGCTCAAGGGAGGGGTGGGGGGTGGCAGGGAGCCTGAGAAACAGCATGCTCTGCAGACCTGGAGGTCAGCCAGTTGGCTTGGAGGAGGGGAATGACCAGATAAGAGAAACAGAAGGTGATGGCTGAGCCCCAGCCCCAAGGAGCTTGTGTAAGACCTGTGCAGTGGTTCTGTATCCTGAATCTATTTTTATGGCCACAATTCTGGAAAACCAAACTAGAGACAAAGAGACTCTAACTCCTGGCTGACCTGGGGAGATCATGCTACATCCACTCTCAGCCCATGGAACTCATCTCGTAAATAGAGATGATAATGCCCAACATCCATCCCCACCTTGTAGCTTTGCTACAAAAATAAAGAGCTGCAAGATTTAGGAAGCTGCTATATTGCATTATGGTTAAGAGAACAGAGTATGGAAGTGAAGAAACCTAGGGTGGACCCAGGAATCCCAAGCTTCAGCCTTGCTTGGTTGTCAGACACTCACGTGGTGGAGGGCATCGGCCCCTCTTTAAGCTCAGTATTTGCACGGGTGAACCAGGAGTTGAATGTGAATATCTTAGAGGCGGTTCTAAATTAGGAAGCACAGCTCCTAGGAGACCTGGAGTCCAGTTCCAGTCTCTGCAGAGTCTTCAAGAGGCCCTGGTCTTTAGAAACAGGAGCAGAGCAGATCTCCCAGATTAGGATCCAGGCTCCTTGAGGAGCAGTAGACTGTAGAGGCCACAGGGAAGATGAGCCTGGTAAGAGCAGTGACCACACCCCCCACACCATGCCCTCAGGGAAACGGAAAACAACTGAGGCCCCAGAAAGCCCAGAACTGGTCACGGGGAAGCCCTGAAAGGCATGGCTGATCCCAGCTCACCTTCAGTTTGGCTCAGTTTAAAAGACCTACACTTAGTAGCCTCCATACGGTTGCCACCAGCCTGGGTGACCCTTCCTGGCATCTCAGAAGAATCTCATCTCACCCGTTGAAATGACAAGTGTGTGTGAACCTGAGCTCACCTGACAGGACACAGGGCTGGAGACCAATGACCAATGACCAAACCCATGTCATAACAATCCTCATCAGCATTATCACCCTCCTCATAGCTTTTGCTTTCCCGAACACCACCCCAGTAAGCAGACAGTGCAGACCTCGCCGCCACTTTACAGATAAGAAAACCATGGCCCAGAGCAGCTCTATGACTTGCCAAGGCCACAGAGGAAATGGAAGAGTCGGACTGGAACTAAGGACTTCACCTGACTCAGTGCCCTCTCTCATCTACTGTGCTATTTATCCGCATGGTCCTTTCTAGGGAGCTGTGGAGTCCTTGAGAACCAGCAACGCCAGTCATCCCAGAGTTTCTGCCTAGGTTCGGGCATCAGCCTCACTGGCTTGCCCACCACCATGTGGGAAGGCAGAGCCTGCAGTCCCCAAGACCCCGAGAATCTCATCAGTGCTGCTGGTAGAAGTCAAATGAGAGCCACATGGCATAACACCTCAGAAAGAAGCATAGCTCAGGTTTTCCCTCTGGTCATCCCTGAGGCTTAAGGAAAGGAAGTACTATGCATGCAGAAGAGGGAGGCTAAGTGCAAAGGAGTATGGGAATCCAACACTCGGGCACGTCCAGGGACTTCAAAGGTGGGAGGGGTAGGAGAGGAGTGGGCAAAGGCGTCTCCCTCCTTTAATGATGAAAGATGACTTATATATTATTCCAAAGAACAAAGCACCAGCAAGGAAAGGCAGATCCTCATCCCTCCCATCGCCTCCCATGCCAGAGCCACCCATGGAGGGTCAGAACAGAAGCCTGTGGCCAGGTGCAACCTAAGAGCAGGCACTGCCACAGGGTCTCCCACAACAGAGAAGACAGGAGATCACCCACCTTTGGGGGAGCCACTTCTTAGGGTTGGGATCCACCATCTCAACCAAATCTGTTCTAACTCATGGCCCCACTTTTCTTCTGTGTGGCTCTCCTTCCCAACTGCACATCAGCATCTCCATGAGCCCACACCAAGACAACACCCAGCCATCCTTCTCCTCGCCTCCCATCTACACACCCATCCCAGCTGAGCTGGTCCCTCCTCAGATACCCAGAACATGAGGGGTGATTATAAACGCCGGGTGATGACCCTCCAGGGTAACGCCATGCTAAGCTATTTGAAGCAGCAGCTTCCCTGTGGGTTATGAAGTTTTGTTGGGCTTCCCATATGGATTCTCGGGGCCACAGAACCTAACTTAGGAGATGAGGACTAGGTCATCTGTGAGGGGAATGTGACTTACGGTAGCCAGAGGGGGCTAACTTCAGTAAATCCTACACAGAAGAAAGGAGGAGGAACTGGCCAAAGGACACATGCACTAAAGAGAGGGCGAGCAGAGTTGGTCTCCAGGTTCTGAAACTCACTGGCTTCCAAGGCCTGAATTCCACCTGACTCATTTGTTTGAATCACCCCGAGACTTACAGGGGTTCCCTGATGACCAAGTGGGTGCAGGCATCAGGCTGAGGGTGCAGGATCAGACAAGACCCTGGCCTTCACTTTGTCAGCACTGGAACTCAGCAGGTCCACAGACCTGAGATCAGGCCAAAGGCCCTTAGAGACGGTCTAAGGGGACATGGCCTTAGATGACAAGTGTACAGACATGGAGTAACAGGACAGATGTGCAGACACAGTGGAGAGAATGGATGCCCAGAGAAACCATGTCTAGCACAGAAATTAAATTTATGGATACAGATGAAAATACTTGGTCCCAGGACCCCACCTCTTCAAGAATGAACATTCCTTTGTCATATCAAAAAAAAAATTTTAAGACCCTATTTAAAGCAAATAGTCATTGAAGACTTACTATATGCGGAGTATAGGTAACCGCTGTCTTTTAGTAACCATTGATTCAATCAGTAATGACAAGAGCCATTCAGAAGTCAGTAATCTCGCTGGTAAAGGTGCGTGTTTTTAACCACCATAGTCTCTTCCTGTCAGGAGCACAGTAAGCCCACATGTAACAACCGTGTGGGAGACACTCAGCGCGTAGGTGGTTCCTCAGATCCCAGAGGTCCACAGTCCACAGGTGAAAGCCCCAGAGGTGGACAGAGGTCAGGTCTTTGGCTCTGGCTTTGACACCACCAAGGCAGGAAGGAGCATCTGGTGTCAAGGAAGAGTCGGCCCATCAGGAGGCAGAAAATTTGAGGCCCCAGAAACTTAACTGCTCATTTTCAAAGTGGATTTTTGCTTTTTTAAAATACATATTTTGTGTTCCTTGTTTGATTTTTTTTTTTTTTGACATAGGATGTGTATGCTTGCTAGAGAAAGCCAGAGAAAGAGAGAGGGAAACTGAGAAAACATCTCCCAGGGGGATGGCCAAACCACAGTCCCTTCTCCATTCCCTTCTTGGGACTTTGGGCACGCATGCACATGCCTTGCGTGACTCGCAGGCTGGCGGGTCCGGAGCTCAGACCATGCTGTCGGCTATGTGGGAGTCCAGTGCCTTAACCATCATGCCACCTGCTGGCTCCACTTCTTCCTTTCATGTGTATCCATTTCAAATATATCTCAATTCCATTTTTCACTTGGTGAAAGAGCTCCCACCCCATATTCTGCCATTCTTCACCTCCAGATAGTGGAGACTGCTCAGGAAAGGGAAAGATACCAGCATTATCTTACCTTTCATTAACAGATATTATCGTTTAGGAGTAACCCTCCAACTGTCTCTCACACACACACACACACACACACACACACACACACACACAAATCATTCCTGTTTGCCCCCCCCCATAAAAGTAGGCTGTGAACCTCAACAGTGTCCAGGAAGCAATGTCAGTGCCCATGCACACATCTGCACACACACACGTGCACACACACACACACACGTGTATGTTCTCAGACACATTTCAGAGCCCTGCAGCTCTCCCGTTATTAATTTTCGATGCACACTAGCATGCGGTAAAGACTCCAGTCATTTCCATCACAAAGACACCTACTTAGCCCAGGATTTCCCACACCTTTTGTGTTCTACAAGCAAGGTCCTCCCCGGCACCCCGAGCGCACACGTGTAACCATGAGTGTGTGACGACGCTC